ATTTAAGTATCCCCTTTGTAAGCCAAGGATTGTTTAGCCTTTTAGTTGTGACTTGTTTCGTTAGCATAGGATAGTGGGTGTTATAAAGGCTGAGAGTTTTTTGAAGAAATGATTGCACTGTTAGGTTGATGTCCCCTATGTTCCCTAATTCGGATCCCCAGTTGATATTAGCAGCAGCAGCTATAAAATTGCCTATAGCAGTTTCATTTTGCAGCCTAAAGCTTATCTCCCTTGTCTCTAGAGGTGGTTTGTTAATGTTGGTTAGGAGAAATGTGGGGTCAATGAAATGTGGAAAAATGTCTGTAGTGCTATCGATGATTATCCCTGAGGTAAGTGGAGAGGTTATGTTGGTCCAGATGTGATCAAGAGCCGTGGCAGTACTGTCAGTGATTCTAGTAGGTCTAGTGATTACGGGTATGAGGAAGCAGGAATTCATACAGTTGAGGAAACTAGCAGCAGGAGAGTTATCAGGCTCGCAGAGGTCAACGTAAAAGTCACCAGAAATAATTAAATGGTTTTTGTTCAGTCGGTTCTCTAGTATAAGATTTCTAAGGTTTGAGTTAAATTCAGTCACATCAGTGTTAGGAATCAGTGTCACATTAGGTTAGTTAGGAAAGTTAGGAAAACAAGTCACAACCAAAAGGCTTAACAATCCCTGGCTTACAAAGGGAATACTTAAATCTATTAATAAAAAACATGACCTTGAGAAGAAGTATAGGTTAGGAATTGTCTCCAAAGAATTACTCATTATTGCTATCTAAGATAATTAGACGAGCCAAAACTAAATACTACGAAGATAAATTTACCCAAATAAAGAGCAACATTAAACAAACTTGGAGAACAATTTCACAAATATTGGGATCAAAGAAGTCTTTAAATAACAAACCGACTCTCCTGTCTAATAACGATGGTCAGCTTTCAGCCTCTGATTCTGCCATTGAGTTCAATAGGTTCTTCTCTTCCATTGGTTCATCCCTTGCTAATGATATTCCATCTTCCAGTACTGACATTAAGGACTATCTTACAGGTAACTATCCACAGTCTCTGTACCTAAAGCCTATTAATTCCGCTGACGTCAATGAGATAATCCTTTCCCTTAAAACCAAGTCTGGTGCCCTTGAGGAGATACCAACTTTAATCTACAAAAAAGCCTCCAGATCTTTAGCCCCTGCTATTGCTTTGCTCTTCAACAAGTCACTTGAACTCCAAACCTTTCCAGATATTCTAAAAAAAGCGAGAGTAACGCCTGTCCACAAATGTGGTGATCTCACAGATGTTAACAACTACAGACCTATATCAATCCTGCCAAACTTGTCAAAAATTTTTGAAAAACTAATCTATAAGCAGCTTTACTCATATCTAGCCAAACTCAATATACTTAGCCCTTGCCAATATGGCTTCAGGCCCAAAAAAAGCACTAACGATGCACTTATTAGTATGCTTAACTCGATTCATACAGCTCTTGATAAAAATGAGTTCCCTGTTGGGTTATTTGTGGACCTGCGTAAAGCTTTCGATACTGTCAACCACCAAAATCTTCTTCTTAAATTACATCATTATGGTGTCAGAGGACACTCCCTACAATACCTCAATTCCTACCTTACTGACAGGCTCCAATGTGTTTCTGTGAATAATACAATTTCTCCCACCCTACCCATCAACATTGGTGTTCCCCAGGGCAGCATACTTGGCCCTCTCCTCTTTCTCATCTACATTAATGACCTTCCAAATGCCTCCCAACACCTCAAACCAATTCTATTTGCTGACGACACAACCTTCATTTACTCCAGTCCTGATCCCCTTGCTCTAAATGCCACAGTAAATACTGAGCTAAATAAAGTCCATCTGTGGCTAACTGCCAACAAACTCACCCTTAACATTGACAAAACTTTCTATAGATATATGCTGCTTGGCAATAAATCCTCTAATCAAATAAATCTCAAAATAAACAATACCCAAATTTGTAACAAATTAGATGGCAAATTCCTTGGCATTCTCATTGACCACAAGCTGAATTTCCAGGGACACATTCTAAACATATCAAAAAAAGTTTAAAAAACTGTGGGCATTCTTTCTAAGATCAGATATTATGTACCACGCCCTGCCCTGGTGACTCTCTATTACTCCCTTATCTATCCATATCTCAACTATGGTATTTGTGCTTGGGGCTCTACTACCCAAAATCACTTACGTCCTCTAATTACTCAACACAAAGCTGCTATTAGGACAATATCCAATTCTGGCCCCAGACATCACTCGGTACCCCTACTCAAATCTCTGAATATGTTAGACATTAAGTCACTGCACATTCTCTCATGTGTATTATACATATATAAAACGCTAAACTATAATGCCAATCCTGATCTCAAAAGCTTCATAGAAGGTTGTAACAGAACCCATGAGCACCACACCAGAAATAAATACAGTTTTGATATTCCTAGAGTACGACTTAATCAAACCAGAAATGCTCTACAAATCAAGGGGCCCAGAATGTGGAATGACCTTCCTTACCCCTCTGTTGTCAACCCATGTATGTTTTTTTTTTTTTTTTTTCAAATCAACGCTGTTTGAATGTAATTTTCTGTAATAATTTGTAATTGTATTTGTGCTGCTTTTTCAACAATGTTCCCCCCTCTTTTACCTCTATTTTTATTTGTTCTCAACACATTTTATTCTTTTTACCCATTAGTTTTAAGCTTTAGTCATTAATGTTTTTCCTGCCCGAAACGCTTTGCGTAATAGTGGCTTTAGGCATTGTATGTACTAGCTCTATCTATAAAGCCAACAAACTTTGTAAAATCTCTTTATGTATGTACCTTATCTAAATAAAAATTATTATTATTATTATTATTATTATTATTGTTATTAACCCTATAGACTGCTCCCACAGTCAAGACAGCATCGTTACCCTTGACTCTGAAACAGGCAAATATATACTCTCCATAAGGGTCTCAAGATTTAATTACTTTTAAGCAAGTCAGTGCATGGTGGTAGTAAAGAGAAGTACCACCACCTCTTTATATAGGACGACAGTTGTGAATGGCTGAGTAGTTTGGTATGTTGTAGAGTTGAGAAGTGTCCTCTTTTAACCACGTTTCAGTAAACACAATAAAAGAGAATTTGTTGTCAACTGTTTGAATCAGGGCATTAACATCATCAAAGTGCTTGCTAAGAGATCTTACGTTCAAGTTAATTATAGAAACATTGTGATTACACGCTAAAACATTGTTTACATCATGTGCTGTGTAATATCTGCAATTTTGATCATTAAAGTGCTGATTGTCATAGATACTAGATAAGAGGTTAAGGTCTGGATCTATAATAGTTTGCATAAGAGGGCTGTTTTACAGAAAAGTCAAAAAGACAATGATAAAAGAACTAGCTATGAAAATATATATATATATAAAACTATACACAAAAATGAGGTAGGTTGCTTAAGAGTACTTTCAGGTACACTGTAGGTAATTATTTGCACTAATGATCAAAATGATCATTATGATCAAATTTGATCATAATGATCAAAACTAATGATCGTGGTACAATTTTTTGTTCAGTAATTCTTTTCAGTGTACTGAGGTCGCATTTAATCGTCAAGCTGCTATCGCTGGGGAGGATACTGTCTGACAGTCTTTATGAGGGTGTCCAGCTGCTGGACGCCTTTTTTGATCAGGAGAGTGGCTGTGTTGTTGTTGTTGTTTCAGATTTAGCTACTCAGAACGAAGTGTCCATGTAGCACGGGCTATGGTGAGCCCGTGAGTGGCTGTGTTGATGGCTTCAGAGTGGTTACTGCAAGAATCAGGGACTCTTCAAGCTCTTCTAAGGTCGTTGGATGCACTGTAAAGATAGTGAAGTAATAGTGGATAGCTGAATAATTGGGAATATTATATAGTTGGGTAATGTCATTATTCATTTTTTATTAACAAGCTTATATATGGTCACTGCTTGATCGCAAGCGGGGATTTTTCTGGCGGGGGAGAAAGAAACAATTGCGCAGCGCGTCCCGCGGCGTTGCGCGGGCAGTTTGGGGCCGTATAAATACGGGCGCACAATGGGGCTCTGCCTCACTCCGCCTGCCCTCGCCGCTGCCCTCGCAAAACTTTATATTTGTTTATATATATAAACTTTATATATATAAACTTTGTTTATATATATAAACTTTGTTTATATATATAAACAAAACTTTATTTACTTTATATATTTTAATATAAACGTTATATATTTACTTAATTTATATTTGGAAACTTTATATATTTACATGTTCAATATTAAGTTTAATATAATATCAACTTTGTTATAAGTCTATAATATAAACCGTGTTTAATATAAACTTTATATAATTACTTACTTATATATTTGAACTTTATATATTTACATGTTCTGCAGAATTTAATCTTCAATAAACTTTAACGCCCCATGCTGCCAGTATCTTTCTCCACCTGGTCAGAAAATACACATTAAATAGGTCTCAGTAAGTGCTTACTGAGAACAACAAAAAAGAATTGGTAGTTTGCAATTTGTATTTCTCTCCAGATTCTGGATCCTCAGCAGCACATATTATTGCTGTGTATACCTAACCTTTTTTGTTAATATTTTTTATTGTAATTAATTCAAATTTAAATTCAAATTCAAATTTTTATTCAGGTAAAAGTACATACATAGATGAAGAGTTACAAACATAATGTTGGATTTATAGATAGAGCTAGTACATTCAATACTAAAGCCACTAATACGCATAGCGTTTTGAGCAAGAAAATGATTTCTCCATTCTAAGTTTGGGTTTCGCTCGACCCAGAAATACAAAAATATACAAATACAAATATTTATTCAAGTAAAGTACATACATACAAGGTTAGATACAAACGTTGATTTATTTATAGATAGAGCTAGTACATACAATGCCTTAAGTTTGATGAACTCATAGCTAGCTTTTGATCTACAGTCTGTAATCCCCCATATGGAAAAGGGTAGCAGAACATTGTATATATAAGGATGTTTAAAAGAAAGACTAGTTCTTGTAGCAAGAATCCGCGGATGTTGTCTGTCAGTGTTACCGCGCATTTTATGTTTAGTGACGTCACGTATTGTTTGTAACCTAGTGTTATGGCGGACGGGCGACACCGCTTGCTGAGTCTTTGCACAATAGCTCGTTAATTAAGGTGATTTGGAATTTCATAGTAGTATTTAGACACGTAAATCTTGTTAGATGTCGCACTAGAGTATCGATTGTATTTGTACTAATCATATTAAAACAAATCTTGGCTATGTATCGGAGAGCACAAGTCGATCAATAACCTTTCTGCCGTTTTCGGGAGGAGGAAACTATCACCCAAACTGCACACACCATAAAGAAGAAGGGCAGTCAGGAAGAAGAAGAAAATAGCTAACAGGCTGATTGTTTTCAAAGATGCCACTACTGACTTGTTATACACCATAGAGAGTGGAACGCAAAGTGCTTCCGCCCCCTCTTTTTAGCATCCAGTGAAATTCCATCAGGTCCAACAAACTTAATCAATCACGTCTAGCTTTATAAGATACCTCCTAACCTCATCTCTGGTAATTTCAATATCTTCCAAGGCTCCTTGGTGTATCGCTACCTCTCTTAGTTCAGGGATTCGGGGACTTCTCCTTGTTCTATTGTGTAGACCTGGAATCTCTTGTTGAGTTCTTCACACACCTCTGTCATTCTCTGTGTACTCATAAGAATGAAGGTAACTACAGAAGGCCTATTGACCCATATGAGGCAGCTCCTGTTTATATTCACCCAATCTCATTCATATACAGGTATATGTCTAACCTATGCTTGAAACAATCAAGGGATCCTACTTCTATTATGTTACATGGTAATTGGTTCCACAAATCAACAATCCTGTTACCAAACCAGTATTTACCCAGGTCGTTCCTAAATCTAAGCTTATCCAATTTATACCCATTGTTTCATGTTATATCCTTATTGTGAAAATAAGGCCGTGTGTTTTCTAATTGGTTCTATTGTTTGCTAGTTTAAGGCAAATCTGTCACACATTCTTAAAAAGTAATTTGTGTGACTGTTCACTTAGACTGCTTCCTGGGATTCTCTCATCTCAGATATAACTGTATTTGCCACATTCTTCTATTTTAAGTGCTTGAAGTCCTCAATCAAGATGTTTGGGGCAGGGTTTTGTGAGGTTTTCTAAGCAGTATTCTGTTTTCGTAAGTTAGTCTTTATACTGTTGAGGATTGGCCTCAGGTAACTTATACAAGGACAATAACCACATTTAGGATCTCAATTTTGGTTATCTGCACTTCCACCAAGTCGTTTGGGATATTTAGCAGCTCAATGCAGATGGGTGTGTCTTTGATGTACAAGCTGATTCCACTCTGTAGACTGTTTCCTGTCACATCTGAAAAGGTTGTACTCGGTAATCCATATTTCACTATCTTAGTAGTTCTTTTTGTAAGTTTCAGTTAGGGCTGCAAACACTACATTTGCCTAATTTAGGCAGCCAGGTATAAAGTGGACTTAGTTTGATTTGTGTACTTTTATACCCTGAATGTTGGCAAATATGAATGATGTTATTGTATTTGCAGAGGTGCTGGGTGTTATACTTGTTAGTTTGTTTCTGATAGGATTGCCACTTTGTGTCCTCTCTAGCATTTGACCATGTTGGTAGTAGTTTGACATTTTGAATCATTATTCTTCTCTTGCTAAAAAATCTCCCTGGTATGTAGAGTTGGAGCTGGTTTTATAGTGGCATTCTTTTGGTTTTATTCACCTGGTTCCTCTTGTATAAAAAGCTGAACAGTCTCTGTTGAAGGACTCTCTAATTGTCTTATTGTCTGAATGACGTCCTTCGGAGTTCTAAGTGGAAAAATTAGCAATTTCTGGAATATTTACCTGTAAAAAGAATATTTCTACACTTTCTTGGGTGACTATATTTTCATGTTCCATGCTTACCATTGGGGGGGGGGATTCATTACCTGCAGCCACCTGCCATAAGTATCGATATTCCAGTCTAATTCTGGTAATTAGTGTCACACTGACTAATTGGTAGTAAAAAACACACAAAATTACGTTTTGTGTTGTCTGTACATATAGTTCTCAATTCTAAACATATAATAACTCTCTATACTCTTGCTTTCTGCTCTTTGTGTGTCAGTGAATGCTCTTCTGTCATCCCTAAATTCCTGAACTAGTACAGCCTTTACAACAGAGATTGGAATACCGGTCTTGTTCAATGTCTTCCCTATGGACTCGGCAGCTTTATCTGCCGTCTAACAGGCGCAATTAGTGATGGTAAGACGGTGTGTAACTGGAACTCCAATTCTCCTGATACTGAAAATGGAAGTTGTAGTGAGTGAACTGGTGCTAGTGAGGGAGCTATGTGGAGCTCAGAGAGCAGAGGTGGATTCCTTGCGTGAGGAGCTACGACAGATGACGAAGCTAAGACAGACAAAACACCATCAAGAAGAAGCAAATATGGAGTGCAGCAGTAGAAAATCGTCGTCCTGGAATGTTGAAAAGGACAGGGGTCTTAAAAAGAATTTGACAAATTTACCTACAAATATCCTAAGGACTTCAAACTCATTCACCGCGTTGGAGGACTAGTGCTGTGGGGATCCTGCAGTTCGCTTGAAAGGGGAGGCAACGAAGGTAGCGCAGGTATCTCAAGGTGCTCAGAAAGTAAAAGACGTACCTAAGCGAATTTTGGTTGTGGGAGATTGCCAAGTGAGGTATTTGGATAGAACTTTTTGTGATAGAGATAGGGGGAACAGATTAAAGGTTTGCTATCTGGGAGCAGGGATTGGTGACATTGTTAACAACATGAATGATATTATGGCTGGAAATGGGAATAAACTCATTATATGTATCAGTGCCAGTGGAAATGAAATTGGATGAGTTAGGAGTGAGGAATTGATACAGAAGTTTAAGACAGCCATAGTTAGTTAGGAGCAAGGGAGGAATCCCGATCATATGTGGCATTCTTCCAAGAAAGGGAATTGGAAATAAATGGTTGTCGAGAGCACTTGGTGTCAGTTGCCGACTGGACAAATACTGTATTGCAAATCAAATGCAATATCATTTATAGATAACTGGGAACACTTTATAGAAGGAATGACATGTGTGCTCAGGATGGGGTACATTTATCCAGGGCTGGGGGTTGTTGCTGTTGCCAACTCATTGGAACCTCTGGTTGGAGGAGTTTGTTTGGGTTTAAACTGTTAGTAGATATTGGTATGGGAATTGATATGGAGAGGGATGGTAATAAGTGTTTGTGGGGAAACACGAGTTAGGAGTGAGGAACTGATTCAGAGGTTTAAAACAACCATAGAATTAGTTAGGAGCAAGGGAGGAATTCCGATCATGTGTGGCATTCTTCCAAGAAAGGGAGTTGGAAATAAATGGTTGTCGAGGGCACTTTGTGTCAATTGCTGGCTGGAAAAATATTGCAAATCAAATGCAGTATCTTTCATAGACAACTGGGAACACTTCTATGGAAGAGATGAAAAGTATGCTCGGGATGGGGTGCATCTATTGAGGGCTGGGGTGGTGGTTGTTGCGAATTCGTTGGAACCAGTGGTTGGAGGTGTTTGTTTGGGTTTGGGTTTAAACTGTTAGTAGATAGTGGTATGGGAATCGATATGGAGAAAGGAGGTAGTAAAAGTACGTATTTTTTTTGGGAAACAAATTGGCAAAATGATCAGATTTTCTTAGATTAAGGACCTGCCAGAAACGCTGCTCGTACTAGTGGCTTTACAAGATTGTAATTACTATGCTATGTATCCTCGCAATCCCAATGTACTTTCTTGTATATATATATATATATATATATATATATATATATATATATATATATATATATATATATATATATATATATAAATAAATAAATCAATCAGGGAAAGAAAAGGGCCTCAAAATAACAATACACTTAGGATATATTACACTAACAGTAGAAATCTAAGAAACAAAATAAACGATTTAAATTCTTTTGTCTGCACAGAAAAATAGATATTATTGCACTTAACAAAACATGGATGAATGTAGAAAATAGAGAACTACTAGCAGAATACCAAATAAATGGTTTTAAACTATTCCACACAGATACATTAGACGAGGAGGGAAGTAGCCATATATATTAGGGAAAATTTGAAATGTTGTCTCAAAGAGGGAATCAAAACTGAGCCCCACACAGAAACTATTTGGATAGAATTAAACGAAAAAGCAAATAATCTTATAATAGGAGTTATATACAGGTCACCAAACTTAGACAGGTTGGAAGCAAAGCACCTATGGGATGAAATATCTAGAGCATCTAGGTCTAGTAGTATTTGTGTCATGGGTGTCTTTAATTTTAGTGGAATAAATTGGTTTTACAGAAGAGGGAATAATAAAGCAGAAGATTTTCTAGAATTAATTGACGATTGCTTTCTTACGCAACACATTAAGGAACCAACGTGGGCAAATAATATTTTAGATTTAGTGTTAACTAATAGGGAAATACAAGTAAATGATATCGAAATAGGGAGTGAGGTAGGGAACAGTGATCACAAAGAAATCAGATTTAGTATAGAAGGGAATAGATCTGTAAGAGAAAATTCTGTTAGTGCCAGATTTTCGAAAAGCTGATTTTAATAGCCTAAGAAATTTTTTGGGCCAAATAGATTGGAAAGTCTTGGGCATGGGGGGTGGGCCGGTCTTGGAGCGACACGTGAACCCAGCGATAGGTGACGTAAAAGGGGATTTCGACGTGGATTCAAAATATAACATATTAAAAAATATTCTAAGCAAAGCACAGGAACGTAGTATATGATACAAATTGAATAGATCGAATACTAATGACCCAAAATGGATAACAAAGGATCTGAAGAAAAGAGTGTGTGTTACAAAAGGATTAAGAATGGGGAAGTCAGTTTAGAACAGGAATTCATACAACTGGCTAGAAATGTTAAAAAAGAGATAAGGAGGGCAAAAAGAAACTATGACGTTGGCATAGCAGGGCACACAAAGACAAATTCTAAAGTTGTTTTTCAGTTATATTCGAACAAAATTAGGGAAAGGATAGGTCCATTAAAAATTGGAACAGGTCAGAGAACTGATAGTAATGATGAAGAGATGAGTGGTATTTTTAATAAATATTTTTTCTCTGTATTTTATTAGCATTAGCAGTATTAGCAATTCAGTATTTGAAAGATTACCTTTTCTGGGGGGAAGCCCCTAGGGCTCCCTGGAGCTTATCCAAGCTGATATGCTAATGTCAAGGTTTGGCATTAGTCATGTGTATGGAGTTCTGTGGGCCTACTGGGGACTACGAGCCAGAACCTGGCCCCCCTCAGAGAGGCATGGGGAGCAATGGCCTATAGAAACCCTTGTGTGGTTGGAAGCATTCTATGTCTGCCATCGACCGGGTGAGGCACCCAGAAAGGTAAGCATCCCAGAACAAACCCCTATTCTGGTGAAAATTGCTACCAAAAGCCGAACAAGTGGATAGAACTCCCCAACAAGAAACTGGCAAATGAGCATGACATCACACGTCGCCGCGCCGCTGTCTATGCAGCTCCCGTCTCCCCAGGAGGGGGAAGGGGGAGCCCCAGACCCCCCACGCCAGTTATCCACCCGTCAGGTCTAAGGCTGATGCTAGAGGCAGAAGTCGTGTGCTCTGGCTCCAGTGATTTTTCAGCACTGTGCTTCGAGTGTGGTGATTGTCTTCCAGGGGTGCGAGAGCCAGGAGTTATTCTACAGTACTCGGGCTGTATGTGCCTAGGGTTACCTTCCCTAAGAGCCCTGTAAGTACTGCCCTTGGGGCTTGGGGTTACCTTCCACAAGTTCCTTGGGTCCTGCCTCTGCTGGGCTGTTTAACTGTTCGTTTTTTTGGCCGCCCTTTGGGTGCTTGGGTGTTTTGTCTCCTTGATTTACCTTAGGGTAAGAGGCAGTTTGCATTGGTACGGGATGCAAGGTGCTGCGCAGCTTGGTTTCACCATTCATAACTGCCGGCTCTGTTCCTTTGAGTGCGTTGTCCTCTTGCTGGGATTTATTTTTATTTTTGTTTGTACCTTGTGGAGGGATCTGCCTTGCTTGGTGACTGGTGACTGATCTAATACGGTTTTCTTCTGGTGGTGCCCCCTGCTAGGTCTTCGTGAGTGTACACGTCCCTGAGGTTCAGCTTTAGAAAGTTGCTTGGTAGTTTTGGGCACCGGTTAGCAGTACCCTGACTGGGATTCCCTGAGTGTGAGTTCCATCTCAGGACCCTGGGAAACCCCACGGGGGCGCGTGGGTCCGATGGATGTGAACCCGGAGTCCACCCCCCTCGCTTCGTGCGAGTTCGAGGGCTACTCGGTCCCCTTGTCTCAAGGTGACTCACTGATTTTGAATCTGTCACGCTGCCTGTTGGGTTGGTGACACTTTTGACCCGGAGTCCTGCGAGTTCTGTTGCTTGCTAGTGACTCGGTTTACTCAGTCTAATGATGATCTTCTACGGGTACAGGTGGCGCAGGCATTGCATGTGCGCTTTAGGTTGTTGCAATGCGGTCGGTTGGTTGCTCACCCGGATGCCCCAAGGCTGCCCCATTTTGCTTATAGGGACCCAGTCTTGAGGGGTGGGGGTCACTTCGACGTTGGTTCAGTCTGCATCCCCTCGTCCTACCCCTGTTGTGGTTCGTTCAGGCCCCCCCCCCCTCTCCCCTCCTCTGCTTCCGGCCCTGAAGCGTCTGAGGGTTTTGGAGTCGGGGCAGGGTTTAGATGGTCTTAAGACTCGGGCAGTCTTGGGGGATGCCCCTTCTGGTGTGGTGACGGAGGCATTCGAGTCTGATCTCCCTGCTGCAGCCTCCGGGTCTGACCAGTGGTCCCTCCTTCCATCAGGCTTAAATGACTGCGCCGGCCTTTTCTTTAGAGGCTGGTGCTCTGGGGGATGACTCAGCCCCGGGACCTGTGGAGAAGGATCCTGGGGTAGAGAAGGAGCTGACTTGGGGGCCTTGGACCCCAATGGACCCTGCCTGGGTTTTTCTGCCCTCTGAGTGGGGCTTATTGTTACAAGGAGTGGGGTTCTCTTCTTCCCCCTCTGCGTACGAGTTGGATTTGGTGTCTGCCCCTCCCCTGGTTCGGTTCCGTGCCCCCCGGTTGCGTCGGTTCCGTCTTTCCGGATGTTTTCGGCTTATCACATCCTACCGTTTGTGGTGCGGGAAGCCCTAGCAGCTTGTCTCCTGTGCGACCTGGATTATGCCTCGCTTATGGATCAGTCTTCTTTCAGGTTTGGGCCATCGTTCCCTTTCTAGGTCCGTTATGTGGTTCTGGAGTCGTCCTGGCTGGCGGACTGTCCTGTGTTTGCTTTGAAGGCTTGGCATTCCTTTTGTCGTTCCCGCACGCTTGAGTGGAGCCAGGCTTTGACGGTGGTTCAGGGTTTCCTGGGGGAGACCTTGAGCACCTCAATGAGTGCTTGTTTGCCCCAGCCCTTCCCCGGGATATTGGCTTAGTGCAGTTCCATGTGCAGGTTTCCTCCCTTTCGGCTGCGCAGGTTGCTGAGGACTTGCGCTCTCATGGCATCTTAGCTTTGGTCTTGCATTTCTTTTCTCTCTTGGAGCTGTCTTCGGACTGGCTCCAGAGATATGGATACTCTTTTCTTTCTTCTCCTCCTCGGTTTGTTGTGGCTCCTTCTGTTCGGGATTGTTTCTCAAAGGCTCTTTTTCTGTTGGCATTGGCCTCTGGGGGGTCGGGTCGGTGAGCTTCATGCTCTCCTCCGGTGCAGGGGTTTCTGCTCCTTTGGTTGTGGTGATAGGTTTGTTCACCTGCAGTTGTCTTCTTTTCTGGCAAAGAATGAAACTGCTGCTTTCTGGAGGGGTTCTTTGGTTGTTGATGCTTGGTTAGGCCAGCCGTGCATCATGCGGGGGGTTTCTATAGGCCATTGCTCCCCATGCCTCTCTGAGGGGGGCCAGGTTCTGGCTCGTGGTCCCCGGTAGGCCCACAGAACTCCATACACATGACTGATGCCAAAGTCTGACATTAGCATATCAGCCTGGATAAGCTTTGGGGAGCCTCCGGGTCTCACCCAGAAAATGACGTTTCATTACATTCTACGCTGTTTTTTTTCACTTTGAATCATTTCTAGCTTGCCTAGGAGCTGACATAGATGAATTTGAAAAATATATGTTCTCGCGAAGCCCCAAAATAGGGGTTGTAACTTTTTAACCAAAAGTTGGGTCTGAAATTTGGATTTTTGAGTAACGACAAAGATAGAGGCCAAGTTAGAGGAAAATTGATAGGGGGCGGTGTTGAGCACTGCATGATCTATCATAGAATGAGCCGTTCAATATTATCCTTTTTAATTCTTAGATTCCAGGATGTTACGTCGAGGTGGGAAACGCATCCGTATGGATGAACCACCACCTGAATATGATGCTCCACCCATGACACCCATGACCCCAGCGTCAGAACTGCAGGAGCCTTATACTCCATATACACCGTTTACACCAACTGCAGAAACACCCCTTCATCAGTGAGTACCAGAATACTGATCACTAGAAATTTTAGTCACCAGACAAATGTTTTATTACAATATTGTACAATTGTTCAATTTTGCCAATTAAAAGTATTTTCTAGTGATATTCAATCATATGATTTACATTTTTGTTGTCAATGTTTTAATATCAATGTTGCCCATATAGCTCAGTGATTACTCACAGGAGTCAGGAAGGACACAAAATAACTAGGAGTTGGATATAACTCAGCTTTTGGTCTCCCATCATCATAAGATGACCATATCACTTATATGAGCCAACATAAAAAGCTTAAAATAACATTATTATTAATGATAAAATCTGTAGGAGTCACGATGAGGGTTCGAACATATATGGTGAGTGTTCTCACACACACGTCCTAGTCAACTAGGCCATGGCATGGCTCCTACGGATTTTCTCATTGACACATTGTGTTAGTGTGATTACTCTGTATTTTTATTAATAATTAAGATTTTTTGTTTCACTTTTGTATACAAATTCCTTCAAAATATATTTCATATGAAAATAATAATAAATATTTTGCTTCATGGTGTTTCCATGGGCTGGGTTTGCCTCTAGGCATTTTACTAGTTAATATAGTTCCACCTGTTTCACTACTGCTGGGACTGTTCGGGGTCGGATCCACTTTGCCCTTCCTCGGCTCATGCATTGCTGGCTTCCTGTTCAGGCTTTTCTGGGTTCAGTGCCATGGCATCCTCCTTCCCCCATCATTCAATGTGCTCTCGAATGCCTTTGCTCTGGGTTGGGATTTTATGTCCAATGCTCACTAAGCACACCAGGTTTGTTGGTCGGGTACAAAGTACAGTGTGCAAAATTGTGATGGTGGGGCAGGCTCTTCAGAGTATTCATCTTCCTATGGGCTCTGTTCTCTGGCTACCTCCCAACTGCTACCTGGTGGTTCATTCACTGAACCGAATATGGGTCTCTTTAGTCCATTCCCCTTTGGAGATGGACTTTGCGAGGAACTTGGCTTCTGGATTCTTGGGTTTGATTCTGTGTGGGGCTCACATGCGGTGTGTGTTCATTGTTCTCATGGATGGGGTCTCATTTCTGACCCATTTGCATGGAGTGTACTGTTGATGACATGTCCTGTTGGCTCTGAGTGATATTCAGTCGACCAAAAGTGGATCTTTTTGCGTCAGTATGAAACCGATGTTTTCCCTCCATATCTCAATTGCGAGGCTCTCTTGGCAGATGCCCTTCAGCTGGGCAGGTCAAGGTAGAGATACTTATACCTCTTCCTCCTGGTTCAGCTGCTGCTCCAGATGTTGTCCAGGATGGAGATGCACTCTAGCAAGGTGATCTTTCCTAAGTGGTCAGCTCAGCCATGGTTTCCGCCTTTTCTGGCTTGGTGTCCAAACCCGAGTGTTTTACTGCTGTTTCACCTCTTTTCAGCAGATTGGCCCCAGGGCACAGTCCTTGCACCCCTATTCTTCCTCATTCTTGTATCAGATACAGACAAAAATACTAGTAACAGCTTAATGTCATCCTTTGCAGATGATACAATTATCAGCATGAAAATTTCCTCTGTAGGAGACTGAAAAACTACCAGCCAATGTTAACAAAGTCTTCAATTAGGCAACTGAAAATAACATGATGTTTAATAGTGATATGTTCCAAGTACAGTACAGTACTTATGTATGACAGAAGCAAGGAACTTAAATGAAATATAGGGTACAAGACACAGACTTACTCAGAGAATGAAAACAGTGTGTGTAAAATATCTGGGAATTATGATATCTGACAACCTGAAATTTAGTGAACATAATCAAGCAAATATAGCAACAGACAGGAAAATGATAGGATGAATTTGTGTGGATGTCTTAGTTGCTACTTTAGGTTTCTTTCCTTTGGTTTTGACTTGGCAATCAGGCCTTACAATTTTCTTGTGGGTCACGGTTTCTTATCTTCATTTCTTGGGGGTCTGCGTCTAGACCTTCGGGTTCTTGGTCGGCATCCTTTTTTCTGACTCCAGCATCTCTGGCCACTTGGTATTTTACATCATTCTGTGGAGGTGAATAATGTCTAGGCTTTCCATTGGCTGCTCAAGTGGTTATGTGGTAGCCTTTGCACTTTGCTTGCATGGCTTTCTACTTGGCAGTCTTTTTTTGGGCTCTGCATCGATTTCTCTGATGTTGCCCCTTTTCCTGCATCAGGCCGGTGGCTAAGCGGACAGAACACTGGACTCGTGATAGTGTGATCCCAGGTTCGATCCCGGGCGCCGGCGAGAAACGATGGGTAGAGTTTCTTTCACCCTGATGCCCCTGCTACCTAGCAGTAAATAGGTACCTGGGAGCTAGTCAGCTGTCATGGGCTGCTTCCTGGGGGTGGAGGTAAGGTCGAGAACTGGGCCGCGGGGTCACTAAAAGCCCCGAAATCATCTCAAGATAACCTCAAGAAGGTCTGTCTGGTTTGGGCTTCATTTGTGCTTCAACAGATTCTTGCCCACCATTTTTCTCTTTTGGCTTTTTGGGATCTGGTGTTGTGGCTCCTTGCTCCTCCTATATCTGTTCACAGATATAGGAGACTCTTCATAGTAGTCTGTTCACAGACTACTTGGACCTGGCCTGGAGATTTTGTGATCAGCTTTCACCAAGTGGCTCAGGGCCAGTTCAATTTCCTCTTCTTTCTATTTGGATCGGAGATGTTTGCTGGCAAGATGGTCTTTCTGGCTCCATGCTGGCTAGCTCAGCCATGATTCCTGGCTTTTCTCACTCAGTGTCTGAATATATACGTTTTTCTGTGGCTTCTCCTGTTTCCGAGGTTCAGTCAGAGTATGTTCCTTAATTGTTTGAGGCCCTCTACTGATCTTTGTGTTTGGACTTTGAGTCTAGTTTACCATCGTGTGTGGGATTCTGAGGGGCAGGGGTATCTTGTCTTATGGTGTCACAAATGCAAATTTCCTTTTGCAGCAATATGAAGATACAGTACATGGCTGTCTCTTCATACTATGTCTTTGTTGTCCATGCTGGTTGATTTCTCTCTTCTGTCTTGGCTGTTTGTCAATCAGCATCTCGTGTCTCATACTTTTGCTTCCTCACAGAACTTTTTGTCTCTTTGGTGTCAGTGCTGGTAGACTCCTCTTTTCTGTTAGTTCCTCCTGGGCAGTCTTGGCAACTTGGTTTTAGTGTTGACATTTTGATTTTGCTGTTTTTTAGGTTGTATTGTTCCTTTTTCTACTCTAGCTTGCTGCTGCTTCTCCAGAGCCTTCCTGATCTCTGGAGCATTTGCTTGTTTTTCTTTCAACTTTTTTCTCTGCATCTTCTTTTGTCATAGGTCTCCGTGGTGTAGTTGTAAGACACTCGCCTGACGTTCCGCGAGCGCTTTGTCATGGGTTCGTATCCTGGCTGGGGAGGATTTACTGGGCGCAAATCCTTAACTGTAGCCTCTGTTTAACGCAACAGTAAAATGTGTACTTGTAACAACGATTCTTCGCGGCAGAGATCGTATTCAAGGGACCTGCCCGAAACGCTACACTTACTAGTGGCTGTACAAGAATGTAACAACTCTTGTATATATCTCAAAAAAAGAAAAAAAAGAAAGAGGTCTTTTCCTTGTGGTGGTGTTTCTGTTGGTTCTCACTTCTGTCTGTAGGGTTGGGGAGCATCCTGTTCACCTTCAGAAGTGGGAGGTTTGTTCTTTTGGTTCTGGGACATTTTCTTTGTTTACAGCTGCTACCTTCTTTTAGCTATACTGTATTTTCTCCTTGATTAACCACTGCACTATGCCAAATGACAAATGCCGTTCGCCCATTAATGCGCTAACCGACAAATTCCGTTAGCCTATTACTACACCAACCGACAAATGCTGTTCGCCCATTACTGCGCCAACCGACAAAAGTTTTTTTATTTTTTCATACACGGTCGAAATGCGCTCGCGGTAGGTTGGGTACGAAATGGATTCTTGGGACCTCCAGTGAGAGGCAGCCATTTTGGGAAAAAATCCCAGAATGTCCTAGGGCTGCTGGCTGGGTTAGTACTGAGTAAGCAACCATGGGTGGCGCACACGCCTCTGGCTCCCAAACACCTGTCTGACGCTGTGTTGAAAGATCGCTCTCTGTCTGTGAAATTCAGACCTTATTGCTTGACGAACATAAGGGTCATGATATTGAAGCAGCTAGGTGCAATAAGGACCTAACACAAAAGTCGGATGCAAGTGATACAGCACCTATGAGGATGATACAGCGAGCGTATTCAGTTGTAGCTCTGAGCGCCACCCTTGCCCACCTATGCCATCCAATTTATATAGATGATACATAGATGAATCGTTTTCTGGGTTCAGTGATGATGCATCTGATACAAGTAGCATAGATGAACAGTGTTAGCAGCTTCCATGGTGGCATTTTCTATAGATATTTTTTAAGAATAGCTGAATCTCTTTCAGAATGACTGAATCTCTTCCAGTCAGGGACCTTACAAAGTGATCTTTTCAAGACTACCTTACAAATTGATCTTTTCCTATAATCTGTTCAAGACTACCTTATGCTTTACAAGCTTGGCTACATGCCACCTACAAGTACTAAAGCCAATGGTGTACATGAGTGCGTTATGTGCAAGCACACAGAACGAAGAAACGGGAAGCAAAAGTCTATCTGTACCTGGTGCAACGAGAGCGAAGTCGCGCTGTGTACCATGGACTACTTCGTTGATTATTACTCACTTCCGAAGTATTGAGTGGAGTAATTACCTAAGTGTAGTTACAGGATGAGAGCTACGCTCGTGGTGTCCCGTCTTCCCAGCACTCTTTGTCATATAACGCTTTGAAACTACTGACGGTCTTGGCCTCCACCACCTTCTCACTTAACTTGTTCCAACCGTCTACCACTCTGTTTGCGAAGGTGAATTTTCTTATATTTCTTCTGCATCTGTGTTTAGCTAGTTTAAATCTATGACCTCTTGTTCTTGAAGTTCCAGGTCTCAGGAAATCTTCCCTGTCGATTTTATCAATTCCTGTTACTATTTTCTATGTAGTGATAATA